TGGGTGTGTAATGGGGGAGCTTCAGTGAATGGAATGGGGTCTTGCTGAAGAAATGAGTGGGTTCTGATAGCATAAGGAGGTATCTCTAGAAAGGGGGAAGAGATCTCAAATACCTGTTTATCGAGCTCTTGTTGATACCATGCCAGATCACAAGTGCCTACTGTATAGAGTATTAAGGAACCATATGAGATAGGAGTGCCCATCTTATTTTCATGGTTTTCATGCTCTAATGGTTGTTAAGGGCAACTGTAGGCATGACATCTAAACTAGTTCTTCATAGATGAGTACACATGTTCTCCAAAGAAAAACTCGAGGTCTTGAGAGCCAAGAAAGCACAAAGGGCATTCCTAGCAGAGGAAACAGTGTTTGTAAAGATGTAGACACCAAACCAAGTGGAAGCAAGCATGGTAGGAATTGGGGAAACGCAGGAGTGTTTGGGAATGAAAAGCAGTGTTCCCAGTGAGAATGTTTAGTGACTCACATTTCCTTATTCCTTGAGGGATTTGGTACTTGGAGAGCTAGTAGAGATGAAGGAGACATACTGAGGAAGGGTCATGAACCCAGAGAAGGGAGGGACAGATTATGTGCTCCAAGGACACACAGTGACCATATCACAGCTCCAATGTTAATGAGTCCAAGTGATTCTCCCTCTTCCCTCGAATGACTGACACAGCTTTTGCTGCTACTCCTGATTCCATAGTGACTCTATCATCCGTGCAGATCCATCCATCCATGGACTTTCAGACAAACCGTGCACCTGCCTCTACTAATTTCCTGTTATATGTAAAGGAAAGTCTAGATGCCTTTGTCACATCTTACAAATCCCCATAAAATTTCTATGTCTCAATCTCATGTTCTCCTGGCTCCATTTGGCCACCTTGCCTTGACTAACACAGCCTGTTATAACTTGATTGCTTTTTTGTCTGTGCTACCTCCTATGGTCTCCCTGCCTCATCCCTGCCTTGTGGACAGCATGAGAGTCACTCTTTAGATCTCATCTCAGTCATCCCTAACCCTAGGCACCTTTCCTTTACCTTAGGACATGGGTCACATCTCCCAGTTCTCGGGGCAAAGTATCTCAAGTTTCTCTACTGTGGAAACTGCACAGAAGGGGAATTTTACATTTTGTGGCCTTGTTATTTGACTGGCATTCCTCTCCACTATTATCATTGATTCCATGAGAGGAGAAATGGTGTCTTATTTCTCTTTCTCTCTCACACACACACCACAGGATCCAGGACCCGGCACTTGATCTGATGCATGGCAGTCAATCAATAAAAACTCTGTAAGTGGATAAATGGTTGCATGGATTTGCAAGTGCCTCCAAAATCCATTACACCCTTAGAAAATCCAGGACAGCCTCACTGGACCACATGCAACCTCCCTCTCCCCAATATATCCACGGGATGATTTTCTTCATTTTAGTGTAAGTAGATCAACTCCCCACAATCCCATGCACATAAGCGTGCCCAACCTGAACACTAGTAAACACGCTGTCTAGACAAGAGAGCAGACATACTCTCATCAAATCCTGCAAATAGGAGGGAAAAACAACCCTTGTTGCTTCAGCACACATGTTTATTGATGATGTAGATTAAACTTTAATCATATTGCACAGTTTCAATTTCCAATTGAAATTGAAAGTCTGAGCCATGTACGGGTTTTTATTACCTTCCACTTACGCCACTGATGGAAGCGATCGGAGGGGAGCCATCTTCCAGAGGCCTCAGGTGGGGTGGCTGGGCCGTAAATCAAATTAATACTGTAATGTTGCTGAAGTGGTAATGCATAATAGGAGATGAGAAGGGTTAGGGGCAATTTAGAGAACGTGGCACCTCATTGTCAGGGAGGGATGGTGTATGATGGGATGGGACTCCAAGGGGAGGGCAGGGTTAGTACCTCCAGTTATCTCCTTGCGAACGGCAGGCATTTTTATAAACTATAGACAATTGTATTCAACCACACTTTCAAAAACACTTTCGATGATAAAAGTCCCTCCTGAGGAGGATCAGGAGGTTCTTCCATGTGAATGTTTTCAGATGGTAATCCCTAAGGGCCAAAGACAATGTGGAAGGGGATGACAGCTGAGTTCAAAGCTGAGGGAATCTTGTAATGCTGTTAATATTATTGTAATGACACCTGGTGATAAAAAAGGTGTACATCTGTGTCCTCACAAACTCAGGGCATCTTTTTACTTGTGTGACTCATTACTGAACAGTGAGTACAAGACCTGTCACTCATCTGTAGAGGAGGCAGTGTTTATGAAGTTACCATGGAGATCAGCCTAGTGCTAGATCAAGGAGTAGAACTTAAGCACACCTCCAACAACATGTATTGTTTGTTGAGCACTTACTATGTCCCAGTCTCTTCTTGAACACTTATGTGTATTACAAATAGGTGAAGGAAGGTACCATTTGTGATAAATGCAAGTGATGTTCTCTCTTTGTCCTGGGGCAGCTAATCCCTGACACATAAGGGCTCTTGCTTGTGGCTGGTGGCCTTGCTGTGCTACTACACTGTGACTTTTGTTTTTCTGGCAGACTCTTGGCAGTTGCCTTCTCAGTTTGAAGGTGTTCAGAAGCAGGCTGCCATATGCAAACACCGTGTGACAGGGTCCAAAGGGTGGCTTAGAGCCAATGGCCATTTAAACGCCTCAGTCCAAGAATCCTTGCAGGAAAGTGAAAGCAGCCCCATCTCCTGTCAACTTTATTGCATGACAGAAGCTGTCATTGACACGGTGATGACATGGGCTCAAATGATAGGATGTAACTAGGTCGGCTGTGGATACATTCCTTAACCATGGAATCTGTGGGATTGTGAAATGCGTATTTTCAGCCACCAAGTTGTGGAGTTATTTGTTACACAACCATAGATGACCAAAACAATTAAACAGATTAATTTACTTGCCCAGAACCTAGACCTGAAGGCAGGGAATAGACTCTAAGAGGAGTTCAAGCGCTTTACTATATTCTACTTCTTTAAGTTGTTTACTCTTTTATTTGGTATTTTTGTTTGTTTGTTTTTTGAGATGAGGGCTCCGTAGCTGACAATAATATTGAGTCTCTGATCCTCCTGTCCCACCTCTTTAGGGCTGGGTTTGCATATGTGATGCTGGGGGTCAAACCAGGGCACTGAGTATATGAGGCAGGCACTCTACCCACTGAGCTACATCTCTATACCCCTTGTTTTCAAGCTTTTGTACATGGGTATGACTGTACATTGAGTGTATCCCCACCCCCATGTCTTCCTATCTCGCTTCCCCCATCCAGTAGTCCCCTTTGTGCCCATGATAGTTTTGTTTTTGCTTCTACAGTGTGTGTGTGTGTATAAGAGAGGGGAGGGAGAGAGGGAAAGAGGGAGGAAGAGGGAGAGAGAGAGAGGGAGGGAGAGGGAGACAGAGGGGGAGGGAGAGGGAGAGAGAGAGATTTTATTATTGAAAGTCTTATTGTAAGACCTGAAACTTTTAGAGTTAGAGTAAAAAGTAAGAAAAACACTTCAAGATGTAGGCAAAGGAAAGCGCTTTCTCAGTCAGCCTCTAGTCGCTCAGCAGATAAGGCTGGCCACAGACAAATGGGACCTCATGGAAACAAAGCTTCTGCATAACAAAATAAACAAGCAGAGCATTGCTTGCAGAACAGGAGCCCATCTTTGCTGCCGACACATCAGACAGAGGCTTAATAGCTCAACTCTGCAGAGAACACAGTCTACGTCTTTACTGTGACACAACAGTTGCACTTGTGGTACATCGTTCAAGAGGTCTCCTAAAGAGTCCATGGCTATAAAATGCTTAGCAACATACCATGTTGAGTGCTTGTTCCTGTTATTACAGCAGATGGTTTTTTGCTACCCTCAAGACATAAGTTAGAAAAAGAGAGAGAGAGTCCTACAAGCAGGGAGGCTGAGATGACACTCATGGTAGCCCTTGAATGGCTGCCCACCCTCACTAGCAACCATTCCAAGGAATGTTTTAATAAAATGTTCATGAGCCACTGTCTTGGAAGCTGAAATGGCAACCCCCAGATGGCCACTGATGCAGCTTAGTCTCCCCGTCTCTTCCAGCATTTCCCAGGGAGCCCCTGAGACAGGGAGGGAAGGTATGGTCTGAACCCAAGTAGACATTACAGTAGGACAGGTGTTGGTTTGAGAATTCCAAACAATACTCCCCAGCTGTTATTGTCCTTGGGGAGAATGGAAATGGCCTGGGAGATTTAACTTGTTCTGAATCTGTTGTACACTGCACTGACAGTCTGTGACTTGGCGACTGTCTTAGTTTGTATTTCTGTTGCTGTGATAGACCAAAAGCAACCTGGAAAGGAAAGGGTTTATTTTCATTTTACAGCTTGCAGTCCATTGTCCAGGGAAGTCAGGGCAGGAGCCTGGACCCAGGATCAGAGGCCGTGGGCTTGCTTACTGGCTTGTACCTCGTGGCTTTTACAGCCTGCTTTCTTACACAGCCTCGGGTTACCTGCTCAGAGATGACACTGCCCACTGGCTGGGCCTGGCCACATTTATGAATCAGGAAATGATTGTGGCCCTCCCACTACTGTCAATCAGAAAACATGACTCGCAGATATGCCCACAGCCAATCTGATGGAGGTGGCAATTCCTCAGTAGAGAGTCCTTCTTCCCAGGGATGTCTAGGTTTCTGTCAATTTGACAGACTATGACAGAGATCTAGAGGGGAAAGGAGGGCATACCGATGTCCTCAGAGGCCTGATTTCTGTCTCCTAGTCATTGGGACTCCATGATAAAAGAATTATGTAATAATTATCAGGAATGCCTAATATTCAGGCAGAACTGGAATTCATCCTCCAAGGAGCAGGCAACTCATGAAACATATTCCATCTCTTTGCATCACTAAGCAGCATGGAGCTGAATCACCCATGTCTACATAATGGCTTTTATTAGCTTTTCTTGGTTAATTTTTAAAGTCTACCTAGCCTTATCTGATTCCACTTGCTTTAACCTCTTCTGATGGAAACTCACTTTTCTTCTTGTAGGTGTAGACACTCAAAACACTTCAGGACCTCTGATATGCTACTGCAGGCAATTAGGGAGAGGCAGACATGTTCCCAGCGTCATGAGAATCTGATAAATCCCGACTGTTTGAAGACACCGCAGCTGGTCTGTTTGGAGCATAGCTTGGAATGTCAAAACTTATATCCACAGAAGTCAATGCCTGAGTTTCTCTCTTATTTGTTATTGCTTCTACATTTTCATTATATAGTGTGGGTTGTTATGGTGATGGGCAGTCAGAATATTGAGAGGCTCTTGGAGAAAATACATCATCTATGTGAAGTGATTGGCTTCTCAGTCAGGTTGGGGGAAGGCAAACAGTCTGGGCTCATGTTCCAATCAGTCAAGGATCACAAGGTTAATAAAATCTCTAAACTAAATGCTATTTGACTTCTTTAAAAAAGCTCAGAGCTTTAAAGGGTTGTGGCAGTCGGACAGGAAGTGTCTCTTATGTACACAGGGGTGTAGTAAGGTCTTTGGCCAACTTGACCTTCTTCTGGCCACATTCAGGCACCCTCTGCTTTTTTGTAAATAAAGTTTTATTAGAATGAACCATGCCTATTTGTTGGCATATTATATGAGATTGCTCTTGTACATTAGCAGTAGGACTGATACTCATAACAGATACAGAGACTGCAATATCTGCAAATCCAGAAGCATGTACTCTCTGCTTTGGGAAGTCAACATTTTTCCAGTCCCTCATGGGATCGTGGCTAAGGCTAATAGAAGTCCAGTCAATGAGGCTAGGGGACCTCAGCTAATACCATGTCGCTTTGGTTGACTAGCCCAGTGGACTTGAACACACCTTACCATATCAATGTTTATTCCTTGTAAAATGTCCCAATTTTAAAGTTTTGTTTACTTTTGTTTTATGTGCACCAGTGGTTTTGCCTGCACATATACCTGTGTGTTAATGTGTTTTGCCATCAGTGCCCAGGAAGTCCCGAAGTCTGCACTGGATCCCCAGAAGTAGAGTTACAGATGGTTGATCCACCATTCGGATGCTGGGAAGTCAGCCCAGCTCTGCAGGAACAGCCAGTTTTCTTAACAGCTGAGTCATCTCTCCAGCCTTCAAATGCCCATATTTCTGTCTGCAAGCTGACATCTTATTTTATAATCATGTCTTTCTTCCGTTCCTTCCCAGGATAATGTTATTGAAACACATGTACCGGGAGTTGAACAAATGTTTGTTGAATGGATATGTGTCCAATATTATTATCTCACAGAGTTTCATTAAGCTTGAAGGATACACTAGAAACCACATTTTGAGATGGAAGTAGGAGGCTTCCTTCCCAGCCTTTGCTGTAAAAGCTAGAGCTGAAGGAAACGGAACTGGTTCTCATGTGATCCTCACCTCACCTTCCCTTGGTAGATTCTCTTTGTCTCCGTTTGGCAGGTGTAAGGCATCAGTGCCTTCAAGTTGGCTCCACGGTGAAGGTTTATTATTAGGGCAACTGTGAGCTGTAATTAGAATGGAATGTAGTTGGTACCTAGGGCTGTTCAAAGAACTGTGTCTCCTTTATTCTTTCTCATTCTTTCTCTTGTTCCAATTATCTGTTCAACTCTCCTTCCTCTCTGCTGGTCATGTTCCTGGTGCCCTTTTTTGGTCCGTGAGATTTGACTTATCCACACCTTGTTCCCAACCCCCCCAACATCCTCATCCCCCCTGTAGTCACAGTTTCTCACTTTGATAATGCTCAACACCACAGAGCTGTTTTTCTTAGCTGATTATATATTTTCACTCCAGACCACAGAGGTTGGAAGTCATTGTCTGTGTCAAAATCAGTATTCTTGACCTACATGGTGTAGTGGCATCTTGCCTTGCCAGTGAACTTGCAGCAGTGACCACACCCTTTGGGCGTGGTTTCAGGTGTGGATGTGACTGCTTTAAGGTAGAGAAACTTTAAGGGTTGGGGGAGGTGGGGGGGGATCATCAGAAGGGCAGTGACTGCATCTTCTGGAGCAGGAAGGCTGCGGCAGTTATTTACTCTTATCTGTGTAAGTTGTTCCCCAATAAAACACCTATTTGTCGTTTATCTTGGGTCTGGTGAACTCCTTATTCCTCTGCCTTCAACATGGTCCATATGTTACTTAGCTATCTGGCTGGTGGCTGGGTGAGTTCACAAGGCTGAAGCAGTTGCCATATGTTCATTCTATAGACCATGACTGATGCCTGCTTTTGGGAAAGAATTTGGTATCTTCATGGCTTATGGGTGTTTCCAGTTGTTAGGATTTTAATCTGAATTGTTCCCTCCCTGGTCATGTTTTGAACATTTAGTTCCCAACTGGTATTACTCATTTGGAAGATTGTGAACCTCAGACGGTGTCCCTAGCTGGTAAACATAGGTGAAAGAGATGACCACTTCTACTTCCTGCCTCTCTTCCTATCTTCCGGTCTGCTGTGATGTGAACACCCTGTGATGTGTGGTGAGATATTATTTATGACTTATTAAAGCTTGTCTGAGGATTCAGAAAGCAAAGTCAGCCACAGGCCATAGAAGCCAGGCACAGACACCTTTAATCCCAGCAGCCAGAAGCTAGGAGGTGGTGGTACACACCTTTCATCCTAGGACTCAGGATTAAGAGATAGACTGATCTCTCTGAGTCCAAGGCCACCCAGATCTACACAAGAGTGAATCAGTCTAAACGAGAATTATAGCTCACACCTTTAATTCCAACATTAGAGAAGTATATAAGACAGAAGCAAGGTCTCAGAGAGGCATTCATCCTCCAGCCACACTGAGGAGAGGCAGCAGTTTGAGACTTGGTAAAGAGCTCGTGCGTGTGTGGATCAGTCCTTTCAGCCTGAGTTGGAGGTGAGAGCTGCTTTGGTTTTCTGATATACAGCTTGAAGTGTGAACCCCAAAATCAGTCTCTGGGTCATTTATCTTTTTGTGTTACAGTGATGCACTGAATCTATGAAATGCCGCAAACCTTTGCCCCTTAGGTTGTTTCTGTTGGGTGCTCTGTGATACAAAAGTAACATGTACGTCAGTTAAAGACGGAGGATAAATTTCGCAAGCCTTCATTCTGAATCCTGACTCTGATCCACGAGGAAAGGTCCCAGGATTTTCAGGTATATGCAGTCCTTTGCTGTGTACCATCTGTGATGTTAGAATAGTACATGCACACAGAGGGAGAGTAGGAAGGGGAGAAGGAGGGGGAGAGGGAGAGGGAGAGAGGGGAGAGGAAGGGGGAGGAGAGGAGGAGGAGAAGAGGAGGAGAGGGAGGGAGAAAGGGAGGGGGAAACGGAGAGGAGGGGAGTAGGGATCATGCCTCTGAGTCTCTGAACCATCCGAAAAATGAGACAGAGAAACTGGCCATCAGGCGAACCCTTGGCTATGAAGGATCTATGCCTCCCTAACTGAGGCTAATTGATTGAGACCAGATAATTCACCAAAGAGTAAAGCCATGCAAAAGAGGCGGAAAACCGGCTTCCTTTGGCAGATCCTCCTGTTAGCTTTTCACCACTACTGGGGCTTGTCATTCTCAGAACTCCACACAAATTTTTCTCCCTTCCCCATTCTTTGTACTAATTCCACTTGGGTCTGTTCGTTGGAAAAGGCTCACTAATAAAGTGATAAATGACTCTGTCATTAAGAAAGACTTTGGAGAGATGTCCCAGCAGTTTGGAGCCCTTACTGTTTCTGCAAAGGCCCTGGGTTCAGTTTCCCGAACCCACATGGGTGACTCACAAGTACCTGCTACTCTAGGGGATCTGATGTCCTGTGGCTTCTGTAGGTCTCTGGGCATATGTGGTTGGCTAGCTTCTTTGTTATGTACACATATGTAACACACACACACACACACACACACACACACACACTAATGATTTTCCTCACACACAAAAATAAAAGAGCTGGAAACTCAGGTTCTGCCTTCCCTCTTTGCATCTCAAAAGTGTTGGTTAGAGAGCTTTGGTTTTAGATTATAGAAAGAGATTTCTCATTGCTTAGGTAGAAGACATATATATTAATATAGTAGAAAAATATAGGATTGCAGGTTAAATTAGAAGGATGGAGAGCCGATCTCAAAGAGTAAAAGAATTCTTTGATATTGGTGCCATAAATTCTTGAAAGAAAAATACCTGCCACTTGGAAAGAGAGGAGGCAGTTGCTGTCCAATTCTTGTGCCACTCCATTTGCAGAACCATGTGGATTCCAGAAGGAAGGGGCTGATGTCTCCAGGGTCTTTGGGTCAGAAGGTAAATTGCCTTTATGCTTGGTATTTGTGGGGGCCACGCACATTGAATGAAAATTTCCACAGAGAAAAGTAAGTAGCTATTACTAAGCTTTAGGAGAATGGATACTGGGTTGGTCAAGGCCAAGCCAAGCCACTTCTTTAAAACCTGGGCTGTGACCAGAAATCACAGAGCCACTGGGGACCCCAATCCAGATCTCACTGTAACAGGCTCATACTGTTTTGGCTGATCCTTCACACATTGAGAACTAAGTGGAATGTTCTTCGCTTCTGAGACAGTTTCTGTTCACTGAAGCCAACCCAGCATGTAATGGAGCAGACAGGCATCTACCAGCTGTGGTTTGATGAGTTCGTCTAAGTCCCCTCTCCTATTGCCACCCTTCTGACCCTGGTCTGAGCTATCTCTTTGGATTCAGGGTTGTTATCTCCAATTTTCATATTCCAAAGACAAGTCAGAAAAATGGCCTCATATACCCCCTACATATGAGATTGATCAAATACGTAATTCACATTAAAGCAAAGGAACATACATTCTTTTGTGTATACTGTATTTATTGGTGCATAACTATAAACACAAGAGAGACAGTTTCTGAACCCATGGACCTTGCAGACTAACAGAAAGGACAGATGTATCAGAATGCAACTGTGCCAAAATGTTAAACCCTCTGAGAGCGCTAGGACTCTGGGGGAAGAGGCAGAAATAGGCAGCAAATAGGAAAAAAGGAAGGTGATGTCCTGGTTGGCACCAACAAGGCCTCTCTCCCGTTCATGTTTGAACACCTTGTCCCAGCTGAGATTTCAGGGCTCCAGCTGCTTCCTAATCCTGTAAGACAACAAACAACCCTGTTGCAACCCTCCCCAAGCCAGGGATAGATGTCTCCCACCACTGTGCCCTCCCCAAGCCAGGGATGGACCTCTCCACCCCACAATGAACTGTGTCTCCTTTGTAACATTAAGCCAAAATCCACACCTCTGCCCTTAAATGGCTCATCAGGGATTTCGTTAGAGTGACTAGAAAAGCAAGTGTTATGGGTGAGCTCCCTGACTCTGTGCGGTGGCTCTACAAGCCCACCCTCTGCTGAGCACTCTTCAGGGAATTGAGCCACCTCACCTGTCTGCGGCTTCCTCTCCTGTCGGGGCTGAGTATTAGAATTCCAGCGAGGACCTCCAGGCCTGAAGCCTAGGATGGGCACTTGGGGGGGGTTGCACATGTTTGAAATGAGGAAGAAAACCCTT